GCTCCTGGGTCAGGCCCCGTCGGCCCGAGCCGCGCGGAGAGCCCGGCAGCCGCGGCGCGGGGAGGCGGCCATGGAGACCCGCTACAACCTGAAGAGTCCGGGTGAGCGGGGCTGGAGGCGGCGGGCGGCGCGGCCGGGTGGGCCGGGAGGCCGAGTGAGCCAGGACGCTGCGGTGCCCTTGCGTTCGCCGCCCCTCGCGGCTCCATTCCGGGTGTCGCGCTCTACGCGAGACCGCCGCCTGCCGGGGTGGTGCAGGCCGCAGGGCAGGGCGGCCGAGCGGGCACCGGCCGCCAATCCTGGGGACTGGGCAGCCGCCTGCGGCACCCGGGCTCTGCTTTTCCTCCTCGTCGTCGCGTAGGCCTGGGTCATAAACTCATCCCCGAGAACAGGTGGACAGGTGGTGGCCAGGGGTGATAGTTCATTGCCGCGCCTGCACCCTGAACACCGTCGTTATCCCCTCTCCGTCGCTGCCACCAGACTTTGATTAGCTGTTTGGGTCACTCGCATTTGAGGATTTGGCTATTTAAGTATGTATTTGCAGCATTTGGGGCGAATAGAATTACAGCCATAATAGAATTACAGACATAAAGGAAATATTCTGAACTAAACCAGTTAACCGAAGAGCCAAGAACACAAGTTAGTTGAGCCATGCACTTTAGAGCTAACCATGATTTTTGCCACGCTGAGTAATATGATTTGTATCCGTATTCAGTCATAGAGACTTCTTTTCCTGTGTTTAATACCCCTGCTTCATTCACAGAAGCAGCCCAAACCATCCTAGCCTCAGATTCTTTTCTGGTGCGTTATAAAGATGCAAGAAAAATAACCAGCTCTCTCATATTAAGGCAGGCTTGAAATGAATCGCTGGGTTCTGTAAATGGTATCAATTCCATCTGTATCTTGATAAATTTGTCAGGAGGGAGAAGATCCGCAGTTCAGCTCTAAATGATAATCCTAGGATATTAGTGATGGTTTGACCAAATCTTGTGCCGCTTCTTTTTTCCTTCAGAAAAAGCAGCTTCTCAGTAGGAATCAGCAAGATTATCATCCTTTTGGAAAAAGTTGACATTGTGAATGTTTGACTTTTTTAATACGTAAGAGTATGCAAAGACTCCAGAAAAGCCTGAGGATATTGATTGAGCTTTGTTAACTTGAGTGCTGTCCGGCTGAGAAATGTTCTTAGGTGACCAAGTGTGTAGAATGAGTCATAACATTTGGGGCCTGTAGACTCCTTTAAAAATCTGGTGAAGGCTGTGAGCTCTCCAAGAAATACATTTATACAGTTCAATTTCAGTGGGTTCATGATCTCCCCCCCAAGCCCACCTCTTAAGAATGCCAGGGAAAAAAATAAAAGGAAGATAAAGAGGGAAGAAAAGCTTAATTTTAAAGTTAGTGGTAGAATGATTAAATTATTTAGATTGTGGTAGATTTGTTTTTTGTGTTTTTTTTTGCTGAGGAAGATTTGCCCTGAGCTAACATCTGTTGCCAATCTTGCTCTTTTTGTATGTGAGCTGCTGCCACAGCATGGCCACTGACAAAGGGGTGGTGTAGGTCTGTGCCTGGGAACCAGCCTGGGCCTTTGAAGTGGAGTGTGGCGTACTTAACCACTAGGCCACTGGGGCTGGCCCAGATTATGGTAGATTTAACTACAAATATGTGGGTAAAAATGTATAGTGACTGCTTGGTCACATGGTACCAAGTTCCTTAGGTCAGCTGAGGTACTTAGTGGAATATGCAAAGAATTAATGCAAACATGAGTAATAGTGCAATTTGGAATGGAGAACTGGTGAGTCTTACGAGATTGTTGTCAGAGGACATTGCTCAATTTTGATGGGTTATCGTACCTGAGATTATGATAAGTGTTTAAAATTCAGTGGAATTTTGTACATTTCAAAAGTATGTGACTTACTGTTAGCTGGCTGAGCTTTGGATGACATGCTTCTGGCTGTGTAATAAATTGCTTCCTTTTTTTTGGTTTCATTTCCTCAAAGGTGGTGTTGCTGTTCCAAAAAAGAGAGAAGTTTTTTAAATCTTTTTTTGTTATTATGTGGATCATTTGGAGTTCATGGAGAAGGTGAATTGGATGACATGTGGGACTTAATGAAAATGGGAGGGGGCCGGCCCCATGGCGTAGCAGTTAAGTGCACGCGCTCCACTGCTGGCGGCCTGGGTTCGGATCCCGGGCGCGCACCAATGCACTGCTTATTAGGCCATGCTGTGGTGGCGTCCCATGTAAAGTAGAGAAAGATGGGCACAGATGTTAGCCCAGGGCCAGTCTTCCTCAGCAAAAAGAGGAGGATTGGCATGGATGTTAGCTCAGGGCTGATCTTCCTCACGCAAAAAAAAAAAAAGAAAAGAGAATGGGAGGAGGCATAGTGAAAATGTGTCCTTGCTTTGTTTTATTCTCAGTCTTGTGATATTTTTAGAGTAATGCATATGTGAAAGGAAGTGATTAGAAACACTGCACAATGTTAGAGATATCTTTTTCTATCTGATGTGGAATTGTCTTAGAGGTATGGATAGAACAATTAAGTTAAGACAATACAGATAACTGGTTAAGGGCCAATGTGCTAGCATGTTGATAATAAATTTCTTCATTTATAGGTGGGGAAACTTATTTCCTTATGATTTTTCTGGAATGGACTTGTGGTTGTGGGCAGAGCTCTGTGTGGGGCCATCTCATAACCCTCTGACTAGCCTAACAGTAGCTGCCTCTGGGTCAAGCTCCCTGATCCTTTTTTGGGTCTGCTCTGGCCAAGGTAGTAGGATCTCATAGTACAAAGCAGGGAGAGCTACGTGTACAGAAGCTCCTGTGGCAGCTGTCCTCAGGGGGCCTATGGGCGTGGTCAGCAGGTGATTGGTGGATAAGGGACTGGTGCGAAGGCACCCACTACCTCCAGCAGAAACCTAGGAGTTATCCTGTCCATGCCCTTGGTGTCAGCTGCACCTTCTGCCAGTCATTCTCAAGCTTTAATGTCCAATTCAGACCCTTCTGGGCTGTAGAGACACAGAACTTAACTGGTGATTTACCATCTTCACCCAGATTTCCCACAGACCGAAAAAAATCTCTACAAGGTGTAAAAACAAGCTCATCAGTTTTCTCTACTCCCCTAAACCTGCACCTCAACCTAATATTCCTTACCCCAGGGATTGACAACAACTAGGCACCTATGGGAGTCATCTTTGATCTCTTGGTCTACTCCTCTACTCCATCTCCTACCCTGAAACACACACACACACAACACACACACACACACTCTCAGGCATTTGCACGTGGGCACCAGTACACACAGACACACATCTATCTAATCAATCACTATTGTCGCCAGATCAAGTAAAACAGAACAAAAACTGATTAGGTCACTTCTCAAACTGAAAAAATTTCAGTAGCCTCCTGGTAGCTGTGGATAAAGTTCCAAGTAAACTGTTTAGCGTGGCCCACAGGGCTGCTCATGATTCAATCTTTGCCCTCCTCACCAGCCTCATCTCCTACCACTCCTGTGCTCCTTTGCATTTTCAGCACCTATTCATTTTGCCCAAATGACCCTCCGGATGGAGCAGCTCTTCTCATTTGTATGCCTTGGTCCCTTTTGGAACCTGTGCTTTAATCCATCCGAAATTCCTATTAATTCTTCACACTTAAGGTTCAGCCTTGCCCAGCTACCCTAGGCAGACGAAGGTGGTCCCTAAATTTGTACATACTTGGTCACTGCTTGTGTTGTGATTGTTTTTATGTCTTTGTCTCTTATTATGAACTTTTTGAAGACAAGACGCAGGTCTTGATCATTCTTTTCTTTTTAATTGAGATACAGTTGACATATAATGTTATATTAGTTTCAAGTGTTGGTCATTCTTCTATCTCCATCACTCAGACTTTATTTATTTATTTTTTTTTGCAGGGGAAGATTTGCCCTAAGCTAACATCTGTTGCCAATCATCTTCCTTTTTCTCTCCCCCACCCCCACCCCACCCCCGCCCCTGCCTCGGCAAGGCCCCAGTACATAGTTGTATATTCTAGTTGTCAGTTCTTCTGGTTCTTCTCTGAGCCACTGCCACAGCATGGCTACTGACAAACGAGTGCTGTGGTTCCACGCCCAGGAATTGACCCTGGGCCGCCAAAGTGGAGCACGCCGAGCTTTAACCGCTAGGCCATCAGAGCTGGCTCCAGATATTCTTTAAATGTTTCTTGAATGGACACTGTTGCAGGGTCTTACTGGGTAAAAACATTAGTCCTTAAACATTTGCTTAAGTGCCTTCACTATGGGAGCAGGAAGGGGCAGTTGGGGAACATGACGTTGGGTTCACATCCTCAATATGCCTGCCTCCTGCATTTTACCCATGCTTTGGAGATTGATGATATTAAGATACTTGCTTTCCAAGAGAAATAGATGCATGAGAGACAGTGACCTGTAAAAGATTCCTTTAGCTGGAGCTTTGTGTCCAAACCCCAATGTAAGCCCAGTGAGCTACCCTGGGCATGTGAAGAATGCTAATGCCTAGGCCCATGGAGCCTATAGCTTGGATCCAGAGTGATCGTGTGGCCTCTATAGAAAGGGAAAACAAAAGCAGGCATGTAGATGCTCCTTGCTCCCCTTCCCTTCCCTGGCACATCTTATCTCACCATGGTAGGAGAGTTCCATTGAATAACCTCGCAAAGAGATAAGAGAGGAGCTGATTGGAAAAAGTTTTCTCTCTAACCATGAGATGCAAGAGATTGAGTATCAGGAGTGGCAGACTGTGCTCTTGCCTGAGTTGCCAGGCAGTACTTTGAAACTCGACTGTTCCGTAGCAGTGATATTTCTCCTTGGGAGCCAGAGAGCCATGCCATGAGGCCAACTTGTAAGCTCAAGGCCTGGTTTTGAACCAGGGAGCATCATTGAGAGGGCCTTATATCCCAGCCCATTTCTGACCTTAATAACTTGTGACCTGGGGAAGAGGGAGGGATGAAAAGGAAAGGAGGATTATGTGAAGAAATTATTGACTCCCATTTGACAGATGTAAACATTGAGGCAGAATAAGATTAAGTGACTTGTTCAAGGATTTAGAACTACCGAATGTCAGAGCCAGAATGCAGCTCTAATTCAGAGTCCACATTCTTTTTTTTTTTTTTGGCGGAGGAAGACCTGCTCTGAGCTAACATCTATTGCCAATCTTCCTCCTTTTTCTCCCCAAATCCCCAGTAGATAGTTGTATGTTATAGTTGCACATCCTTCTAGTTGCTGTATGTGGGACGCGGCCTCAGCATGGCCTGACAAGCAGTGCCTTGGTGCACACCGGGGATCCGAACCTGGGCCGCCAGTAGTGGAGCGCATGCACCTAACCGCTAAGCCACGGGGCCGGCCCCCAGAGTCCACATTCTTTTTCACTAAGGCATTCATAATATGTGTTATTTCAGGAAAAAAGAGATTATGAAAACAGTAGACTAATCTCACCTTCTGTTTGCCTACGCGCTTTAGTTCTCACATGGTATGTGCCTGTGTGGCCTATGAACTAATAAAATCAACATGTTTGGTTGTTGAGCCAATGATTGTTCCTTTAAATACATTCTTATAGCAGTTCTGATCCTTTCATACGTCTCTTGTGATATCCAGGTACTATTGGGTGTTTATTTTCTTCTTTCCTATTGAGCTGAGCTGAGTGGGGAAGAGGGAGAGAAAATGTGATAAGGATATGGAATGACATAAAATCTGACCTCTTCAGCTTAATTACTGTTCAGCCAGCTGATGAGGAAAGAAGAAAAAACAGTCACCTTGGCATCTTTGCTGACAGCAGCCAAACTAGTGAACTTCATACCAGCTTCTAGGGTTTTACCTGTATCTAATAATATTAATTTAAAAGAATGATATTTTTATGTGGCTTTAAACCAGGGGTTTTCAATCCTTGTTCCATGGGCCCCTTAAATAGAATAGGTAAGGGGGGAAATAGCCTGAAGGCCCTTCCAGGCTGGTCTCTTCAACCAAAACAGCTCTGTTATCTGTTTTAACATATTGACATTCTCATTAAGCTTTTCTTTGAAGGAAGGATTTTATCTTATTGTCAAATAAGTTTGAAAAACATTGCCTTTAATCAGATCCTTCTGATTAGAGAATTTGTTCTGAAAGAGATTTGTTGGGGGAAGGTAGTAAAATTCAATTCAACTGATATTTGAGTGCTTACTTTGTGTTAAGCCCTGGGGAGACTGCAGTGAAGTTGATTGTTGAGCAGGAAAGACAGGCATTAAGTAACTACAAGTGATATAAACCTTATAAAAGATAAAATATAGAGTGTTATGAGAACTTATGGCAAGGGGACTCAACCTGGTCTCTAGGGCAGTGGCTTGCAAACCTGACTGGTCATTAGAATAACTTGGAGAGCATTTCTGGTTGCCAGTCTCCTCGCAGGACTCCTCAGGGATTCAGATGAGACTCTTTAGTCACTCCTCGGGATGGACAAGGGACGGTGTCAGGGAGACCTCCTGGAGGAAGTTACTTAAAGGTCTAGTGGGAGCCAGTCTAGATGATGAGGTGGAGGTGGGGTGAGAGCAGCATTGCACGCTGAGGAACGTGACGCACACTGTGTTAGAAACATGTACATATTGAGACACTCTCCCCACAAGTTCTAGACACTAGGCTTTATTCAATTCTTTGACCCCCATCCCAAGACTATAAGTTCCTTGATGACCAAAACTATGTTTTATTGTGGTTGTAGCTACAGCATCTAGTATGAGCTCAATAAATTTTTGACGATCAGGTGAACAAAGTCTCTGCCTACAGGGGCCTAGTTCAGAGTAGGAGATGGAAAAGAATATTAATAATGATGGATTAAGATAGTGACTTAACTTTTTCTCAGCTTAAGAACCCTTGTTTAAATGAAATTTTATGCAAAGGTCCTGATACATACTGAACCGCTTGGTTTATGTGTGTGGGAGTTGCTCCTCAGTTAACCTCTCTCCCCATAACATTCCAGGCTATGCCTCCACACATTTTACTTTATTGTTTCCTCTGCCTATTCATATCCACCTGCGAAATTCCTACTGTCTTTCTCTAAGATGTCAGTACTTGGCCCCTTCTCTCTTCTGTCTGGTCTCAGCTTAGGTGAGTATTGAACCACATCAGTTGGTTTTCAAGCAGAGTTTCAGCAGCCTTGGGCTACCTGTCTTTTCTCTGGCTTTGCTATCCTATACCAGTATTCTGACGTTTTTTAGGACCTAAAGCTTGAGATGAGAGGGGCTGGGATCAAAGGAGTGAGCTTTGAGAGCCAGTAGGGAAGGAGAGAGGGTACAGATACAGACTGCACATTGTGATAGGCTGCTAACGGTCATTTATCATGGAAATAAAAGGGTGTTGGTACTCTATAATGGTATCAATGTGCTTGCCACTATGACTTTTTTATCCCCCTTCAGTAATGCTCAGCTGTTTGGGTATAGACACCAAATGAGAAGATGGTTGGATTGGGTCAGCTAGAATTGAATTTTATTAGGGGAGTGTGAAGGGGAACTCCTGAGAGCCAAGAGTATGGATAAAGAGGGAAGTGAATATACGTATAGGTGGGGTAAAGAAAGTTGTGGTGTCAGTGGATTGAAGGTTTTAATTAAGCTGAAGAATCATTTCAAAAGGAATGCAATTAGGGCTACGGAGATTCAGTGACCTCTGGGGTCAGTCTCCTTAAATTAATGCAAGATGGTGGAAAGTCCCAAGAGGTTGAGGATGTGGAGTGGTTTACCGTCTGTGAGCATGAGTTCCAGAGGGCACGTTTTTCATATAGACATTTGAACAAGGTAGAGTTGGACTGCCTGTGTGGGAATCCCAGCTCTGGCATTTACTGGCTGTGTGACCTTGGACAATTATGTAATCTCCCCATGTCTCAGTTTCTTTGCCTGGAAAATGGGGTAAACATAGTATCTATGTCATAGCGTTGTTTTGAGGATTATATGAGTTAATGTTGGAGTGCTACCACATAGGAAGTATATATAAGCACTTATTAAATAAAAATAGTGTCTTTATGAGACTTTCCTGTATATTTAAATTAATATATAACTCTTCTAATGCCTAGCTTCCATTTCCTTCCCCTCCCCCTCCAATTATTACTATTATCCCATAATTAAACCTTTACCATATACTCAGTTGAACTAGTCCTCTACAGATTTTTTGTTGAAGTAGGAACTTTTCCATTAGGTTTGTAAATCTGTGCTAATCACTTGGAAAAGTATATTTTAAATGTCTCTATCTTGTGAATTTTATTTTAGCTGTTAAACGTTTAATGAAAGAAGCGGCAGAATTGAAAGATCCAACAGATCATTACCATGCACAACCTTTAGAGGTTAGTTTCTATCTCCATCTTCTACGTATGGATTTTAATACTTTAATATTTTAAACAAATTGCTTAAAATTGTTTTTTCATTGCTTTGAGTCATAATAGATGTGTTTGATGTGGTTTATTGATATGTTTTACTCCCTATATTTCCTGAGTATTTCATTAACCATTCAGAATCAGATATATTAGAAGAAGCAGATTACTGGTCTCTGTAAAATGTGTCTCAGATGCTAAATTGGTTTTAGGTGATGAGTATGAGGGAGGGAAGGGAAGTGGAAAGAACCCCAGATTCTTTACATTTTGGAAGACCTAGGCCTTTGTAGTTAGTCTGGGCTTTTTGTGCAAACATGTCTGCCTCTCTTCAGTCTTCTCATCTGTATTTAAATGTGCTCAATCTGGTTTCCATGATAATAGAATAAAATATAATAATGTATGTGTAAGAATTTTGCAAGCTGTAAACTGTAAAGTACTTGGTAATTGTAAGATAATGTTGATAGCATATATATTAATAATAATGACCACTTATAAATAAGCTCTTAGGTATCCGTGAGGGATAATTTTTAAAAGTTTGTTAAAATAATCCAAATGTATAGTAATTATTTGATTATCTGATAATCATTACTAATTAGTATTCAAGGGTTAGTTTCCATCTTAATTATGTTTATAATATTATTTATGAATACATTACAATGCTCAGACATTTTTAAATGCATTTGTTTAAAAAAGATTTTAGCTCTTATGGGACGTGAAAGCTAGATTAAGTAGCTTTTATTCATAACTTTTATACTTGAGACATTTTGTGCGTTAGAAGCTGTTCTAGCAATAATGTAAAACATTAATTTTTCTCACCCAGGAATATTTCTAATACTCATTGATAAAAACAATCAAACTTTTTAATGTTATTGATTCCTTGCTGGTTATTATTTTTGTTCAGGATAACCTTTTTGAATGGCACTTCACAGTTAGAGGACCCCCAGATTCTGATTTTGATGGAGGAGTTTATCATGGACGAATAGTACTGCCACCAGAGTATCCCATGAAACCACCAAGCATTATTCTCCTAACGGTAAGAACTGGCTTTTTGGTATGATTGTGGTTTAACTCTTCATGGTGGCTGCAAAGTATAGCCAGCATATTCATTTTCATTAAGAAATAAAGAGGAACACTATTATAATTTTGCCTTTGGGGACCAGGCCTGGGAACTACAATTTTTTTCACCCGAAAGTAATTCCTAGGAATTATTGATGCTAATGAATGCATAATTGCCATAGCATGGTTGTTAGGATTCAATGAATTCATGTATGCAGAGTGCTAGGCACCGTGTCTGGCACACGGTAAGTACTGGCAAAGGGCAGTTAACATTGCTGTGCCTCTTAATCACATCCTCTCCTTCACCTTCTCACCTTTCGTACACTCTGTTCTTCAGTTTCTTCATTTTTACGTGTAACCCTTAGAATAAGAGCTGACATAGAGTCCTCAATAAATGTTAGCTATGTTATTACTATTTATATCTCAGGATTTCCATCTTCACATATTTTCTCTCCATGTGAAAGAAAACTATTGATCTGATTTTCTCTTATCTTTCCTGGGACTTTGTTCCATCAGGGAATTCCTCCCTTAATTGTTAAGCTTTCCTTGCCTCATTGCCTTTAATTTTCAAGTGCGTTTAATTATCTCCTCTTCCTCAAAAAAGCAAACACAAAACACGAAAACATTTCTGTATCTCTGCTGCCACTGGAAGCTGTTGTCCTGTGTTCTCTTTGATAACCTTCAAGGCCTCTGTCCACTCGTTGAGCCTGGTACCGTCTGGTTCCACATACAGCACCCTGTTGAAACTTGTGCTTACCACACAACCTCAGAGACCAGTTTGAGAAATCCTACTGCTTGTTCCCAGTCTTCATCCTGTTCCATGACACACATGGGGTAGCAAATGGTGAAACAAAAGGTGTTCATCAATAAATACCAAATTAGTGCTGTCTTTACCTATATTTGGTGTAGTGGAAAGAGCATGTTTTAGAGCTGATAGATCTGGATTCTGACCTGTGTTCTTTCCATTATACCATGGGTAGGTTACATAATCTCTTTAAAATTCAGTTTTCTCATCTGTCAAAAGGATTGTGTGTGGTAAATACAGTCACACTATGAAGTTCCTGGTATATAGAAGCTGCTTAACAAATATTAGGTGATGTTTGAGAATTGTTAATATTGGCATAGGGCTGGAGCAGGGTCCTAGAGGGGCCCTACTGTGTTATGAGTCACTTTTCAGTTGATAGATCATGGGGAGAACCAAGTGGTCTAGGGGGAGGGGCTGCTGCATGGGGAATCTGGTGGCGGGTATTTGGGGCAGAGCTGTTCACTGACACGTACAGAAATATCTCAGTAGTTAACCAACGGTATGGTTACATTTAGCACACTGGCTGAGAATCAGCCCTGCCCTTCTGATTTTCAATATTTGCTCATTCTGGTTCACTTCCTCTCTTTTCACAAGTCTTCTCCAACGTTCATTCAGCAAATATTTGTTAAACACTCGTCATGCACTCTATGCATCAGAGAATAAGTCAAATTCTCTGCCCACGTGGAGCTTATGTTCTAACTTCATGTCTCTTCCTCCGCTAAATAAGGGTATTCTCCAAGTTCAGACTTCAGCTGTTTTCTCTTATTTCTATGAAATGGCTTCAACGATCACTTCTCTGAAGTCAGGTACCAAAAATGTATGTCTTCTTCTGACATCAGCACGTCTGTATTCCTACCTGCATGCTGGACATCATCAATAGCTCTTCTACCAAGACAACAGATCCATGTCCAAAACTGAAATCATTATCTTTGATCTTCCTCTTCTATGTTCCTGTCTTATGAAATTGAACATCCTTCTGAAAATCGCTCCCCTCTCAGAGCCTTCCTCATCAATATCTAGTTAGGTGGCACTAAGTCCTGAGGTTTTATCCTAGCATCTGCAGGTTCTTCTCTTGTGGATCCTTCATAGAGCCTGGCACTGTACTAGGCACAGAGGGGGACATCAGGACATCTTTATATATTAATTCTTTATTTTATTTTATTTTTTTTATTTTTATTTTTTTATAATTTTATTTATTTATTGTTCTACCAAAGCCCCAGTAGATAGTCGTATGTCATAGTTGCACATCCTTCTTGTTGCTGTATGTGGGACGCGGCCTCAGCATGGCCAGAGAAGCGGTGCGTCGGTGCGCGCCCGGGATCCAAACCCAGGCCGCCAGCATCGGAGCGCGAGCACTTAACCACTAAGCCACGGGGCCGGCCCTATATTAATTCTTTAGATTTCAGTTGTGCAACTCAGTTTCAGAAAGTTACTACGACTTCTAAAAACAGCTTTTATTATTCATTTAGAATCCAACAAATATTTATGGAGTGTCTATAAAAGCAGAAAAATCTGTGTCCCTTAGAGAGTACATTCTTTTTTTTTTTTTTTTTTTGGTGAGGAAGATCAGCCCTGAGTTAACATCCATGCCAGTCCCCCTCTTTTTGCTGAGGAAGACCAGCCCTGAGCTAACATCTATTGCCAATCCTCCTCCTTTTTTTTTTTTTTTCCCCTTTTTCTCCCCAAAGCCCCAGTAGATAGTTGTATGTTATAGTTGCACATCCTGGTAGTTGCTGTATGTGGGACGCGGCCTCAGCATGGCCGGACAAGCTGTGTGTCAGTGTGCGCCCGGGATCCGAACCCAGGCCACCAGAAGCAGAGTGCGCGCACTTAACCGCTAAGCCACAGGGCCGGCCCCGAGAGTACATTCTTTTAAAATTCTTTGTATGTAAAATATATTTATACTTTTAAAGTATAAAACATTAAACACACACATATATAATTTTTAAAATGCCTTATTTATTCCTAAGGCTAATGGACGATTTGAAGTAGGCAAGAAAATCTGTTTGAGCATCTCAGGACATCATCCTGAAACTTGGCAGCCTTCGTGGAGTAGTGAGTATCAATTTAAAGTGAATATAAATTTTATACAACTTTAGTCAATTCATAATTATATATTATAATACACTCTTGAGATTGAAGCTGTTTTGGATAAATAATTTAATATTATTGAATAAATGATAAAGTTGCTTTTCCTTATCTAGATTTTCACCATCATTTTAATACAACTCTCCTACCTGTACCTCTTCAGTGAAAGCCTTTGAGGGTTTTTTTTCCCTCTTTCCAGCGTAAAGTCAGTTCCATTTACAAAGCAAGTTAAATTGATGCTTACTTTTTGTTTCAGTAAGAACAGCATTATTAGCCATCATTGGGTTTATGCCAACCAAAGGCGAGGGAGCCATAGGTTCTCTAGATTACACACCTGAGGAAAGAAGAGCGCTTGCCAAAAAGTAAGTTTTGTGTTTTATTCTTTGTTAAGATCCAAATACTATTCTGGATAATGGCTATTAGGAGACAGGCTCTGTCTCTTACTTTATGAGTTACCTTGGCTACAGGGTCTAGTCTTAGTTTTGCTATTTTAGAAATTCAGTTGTATCAGTTTATCCAGGGGTGACCAGAGTCTAAAGAACTGGTTTCATGCTATCTCGTTTTAGAAAGAAGTAGATAATAACAACTACAGTGGGAGACATCTTCTAGAACAGAGTACTGGTCATTTGTCTTCACTTGGGCGGTATTACAGATGGAAAAGAACCAGAGCAATTATTTATATGTAGCTTTCCACAAGATTAAAAACTCCTTGAGGGCAGGGAGGGAGTTCACTTTACCCATTTTGGCATCTGGCTCATAGCAAGTGCTCAATAAATGATATGAAATAAAGCAAAGCTTTTCTTTATCAAGGTGTGGTTTCCCGGTGTTATTGCCGTCTCAGTTTTTCCAGGTGCATTCTGTCTATATAACCCAGATTAGTCATTAGATTCAGAGTATCCTCTCCTTTGACTAGTGCTGAGACTAGTTCTTGATTTTGGTCATTTTCCTCTTCTGAACTCTGCTGTCTACCACCCTTCAGATATATTATGTTAATTAAATTATGGTATATCTTACCCTACACAAATATATTTATTCTAGGTTCTTAGTCTACAATAGAGGCTTTTTGAAAACATGATTTTGTATTCAACTGTGGTAGCATACTGTCCTTGGGAATAAACTAATATATTCAAAATAAACATTCTCCTTTAAGTTTCATCTGACTTCTCAGTTAAAAGTGGACACATTTGAAGGCAAATAATTTGGATACAACTGATTCTCAAGAGGATATGCACAGCAATGCTGCTTCTGGTGAAACAAAAAATTTTCATCAGTAAATACTAAATTAATACTTCTTTTACGTATATTTTGTTTACAGGAAATTAATAATTTAAATAGCATGTTCTTCAAGACCTAAGGCTTTTATTATGTTGAACTAGAGGTGTAATAAAACAATTTTTTAAAAGGAAGTTCATCAATGTAACAATTTTTTTTTTACGTATTTATTTACAGTCATACAAATCCTGAGCACTCTTGTGAGCTTTAGAGCACTTTTGGCTATATCTGGGATACATAGGAGAATATGAGAATGTAGAAAAAGAAATTGTAGGAAAGTCTAGTTAACAGATTAGCTTGAGTCTCTACTTAATATGAGTGATAAATTTCAGAATCTTTGGATTTTCCATGAGTTCTCCATCTTTGGAGGGTACTGCTATTTATTTATTTATTTATTTTAGAGGTAATTAACTTTATTTATTTATTTATTTATTTATTCCCCCAAAGCCCCAGTAGATAGTTGTATGTCATAGCTGCACATCCTTCTAGTTGCTATACGTGGGACGTGGCCTCAGCATGGCCGGAGAAGCGGCGCGTTGGTGTGCGCCCGGGATCCGAACCCGGGCCGCCAGCAGCGGAGCGTGCGCACTTAACTGCTAAGCCACAGGGCTGGCCCGGTACTGCTATTTAGATGAACAGGATTTGTGAGGTTTTTTCCTGAAAATATCTGTAAATTCTGTTTTTAATTGACTTCTTTACTGTTTTGTGTATGTTTCTGCTAAAGATAATTCAAGCTTTATAATGGACTTTTTTCACAGGCTTAACATAGGCTTGTTAGTGTGATTTTGAAGACAGTGAAATTAGACAGTTTATATGTTTTGTTGTATAAATCTAAAGCTAATTTTTCTTTAGATAGTATATTGGGAAAAATGGAATCTAAGCCTTGGATTTTATTTTTAATTTAATTTAATTTTATTTTTTTAAAGATTTTATTTATTTTATTTTTT